TTAGCTGAGGTCTACAAGCTCATGTTCCAGAGCAACCTAAGCTTCAACCTTCCACTGCTCTTCATCTCCTTCTCCCTTTCAACTTAGAAATCAGCAGTTACTTGCCTGAGTTAAGACTGAGTGAAAAATTAAGCAGATTTCAGGATTTAGCTCACAGACTTAATTTCAATTTTTAGTTTACAGAAATTAATTACTCCCACTTTTGGGGAATGATGTTCCTACAGAAACAGTTTCTTTCAATTCTGAATTTTTTTTCATTATTGAAATCATAATTAATTGTAATGAATTTGTTAGTGAAACATACAGTCACAATAAACGTGTTAATACTTGCAATGACTTCTGTTTTGCAAAACAGTTACTGGCTTTGGGAATAAAACATGATGGACGGTTCAAAGCAAACAACCTCAATGTCAGAAAATTCTAGTCATGACAATATTCTGAATTGGTCTAGAAATATTCACTAGACAAATAGAAAATTTAACAGAAGTGAGCTTTGAAAAACCTATACCAAAACTAACACAGAGCCCAATCTGATAGTAACTTATCAGAAAACTATAACATTTTTAGGGGATGCACACATATCTTTCTTTTTAATGAAAATTCCTGAATAACTGGCTGACTCAAAGGTCACGCTGACTTGAAAGATTATCTAATCTGTTTTGGAGCTTCCAGATGTTGCTCTGCTATGAAAAAGATAATGAAAGCTAAAGGGAACTAAATAATCTGTCAAATAAGGTAAATTATTGCCATCACATACTTAAAGGTGACTCCACGTAGGAATTAGACCGCAATTAACACCAAGTTTTACACATCTATTTGAGAAAGACCTTTGTTCTATTTTCACCTGTGCAGATTCTTTGGTCATATACTATTTCTATGTATTAACTGCAATTTCACTGTCTTATTGTTATGTTTCATTATTGCTGAGCAGTGCTTACGTAATGTCAAGGCCTATCCTGCTCCCTCACACATCCAACCAGAGAGTGAGTGAACTGTGGGTACACAAGAAGCTGGGAGGTGACACAGCTTGGACAGCTGATCCCAGATGGCCAAAGGGATGTTCAATACCCTATTGTGTCAGGCTTAGCATATAAAGCTGAAGGAAGGAGAAGGAAGGGGGGGATGTTAGGAGTGATGGTGTTAGTCTTACTGAGTCACTGTCACACCTGATGGAGCCCTTCTTTCCTGGGGATCGCTGAACACCTGCCTGCCCAAGGGAAGTGGTGAACAAATTTCTCCATTTGCTTTGCTTCTGCATGCAGCCTTTTCCTTCACCTATTAAAGAGGCTTTATCTCAATCCACGAGTTTTCTCACTGGTACTCTTCCAGTTCTCCCCTACCCCACTGTAGGGGGAGTGAGCGAGCTGCTGTGTGGAGTTTAGCTGCCGGTCGGAGTTAAAACACAACAATCCCAGGCAGCAACTAAAAGGTCTAGTGAAAAGTCACAATAATCTGGGTTGTCTACCACCCTTCACTGTCATGCTGCTACAGGCATAGAAGCGCCAGAGAGAAATGTAATGTCAAAGAGAGGTGCCATAAAAGAAAGACAACCCTAAATAATTTACAGTATCTGATACAAAACTGCACTAGAAAACAGAGACTGATAAACAAAACAAACAAACAAAAGCCACAGAGATTAAGCAAATAGGACTTACACCCATGTGCATGGAAAATTATTATAACCAGGGATGAAGCTTTACTAGATGTTGAATAGGATGTGGGGTCACAGAACTTCAAGGACTCTTCTAAGAAGACTTATGATACTACCTGGAGAGATGTAGCACAGAAAGGGTTTTCCCAGTTTCACAGCCACTGAGGTCTGTGACGGGTATCAGTGACTGGCAACAAGCAAATTTCACATACTCAGGTCCCTGGCATGCACTATATAGCTCATTATCTCATGAGTGGTTTATTACAAAATAACCCATATTTGTGGCCTGTGGAGTACAAAGTTTATAAAGCTTCACAAAAAACAGAAATCAGTTTTTTGTTGTGTTATTTACTATTAATAAAGGTTTAAGACCCCTCTATAGGAATGTGGCCAGGTAGTTGTCCATATCTCAAAGAACCAGTTACTAATTATGTTAACAATACTATAAGATGTCTTACCTCCTAGTTGTGAATTAAATATCCTTTTCAAATACAATCTAAGGACAACAGTGAATAAATTTATTTTCACTCCTTGTACCTTCTTTTCTTAAACACAATCAGCTCATCAAAACCATTCAGAAGAGGAAATAAATATTAGTTAAAGAGAAAAAAAATTGTCGAGATTTACACCAGCAATTTCAAAGTTTTAATTAACCTGGGAAGTAAGGTCTTAAGTAACCTGGGAAGCCTACTATGCCACAATGTAGCCTCCAGAGAAGAATTCCAGAAACCATTGGGGTAGACATTTTTATTGTAACAGGGATTTAATGCATCATTGTCCTTAGCTTTCCTTTTAATAAGGTTAGTTAGTTTATAATTTAGAGGTAAAAACAGTTTGTAGTCTTTTCATGAGCATAATTAATCATATCCTGCTTTTCAGGAAGTAGACATCTGTCATGTGGGACTTCTGCAGACATTAACTCTGCCATTCTTTTGATGTCAGAATAACCTCTGGAGGTATTTCAGGTCTCTAATAATAGTAATGCCATTGTAAAATCCTGGTTACTAAGAAATAGTAGACCATACAATGTACAAAGCACATAAAAACTGTATTTATCCTTTTCTATCATAAGTGTGGTGCTTAGCCTAGCAACAAAATTTGCAAATATAGACAAAACAAAACACTTATCAGAGAGTTAGTACAGAAACAAACCTTTTTGTTTGTGAGTCTTATAGCTGTAGAAAAGGTTGCATCCTGTAATGGACTGACAGAATGATTTACAGTTACTGAGCTTTATCAAGATAATATTTTTAAAGCTATTACTGACTAGATCTTGCTTTTTTGTGTTTAATTTCGAGGTTGAAAATCATGGAAGTGTCAATGAAAGACAGAAGTATCTCTATGCTAATGGCAGTGGTGTATATTAAAAGGACTGATTTTAAGGTCCTATTTAGCTTGACAATAATCCATAGTCTATTTATTCACAGCAATATTAGTTTATTAGTAAACATGGACCAAAATAAAGGCAGAATCATCATCCAGTGTTCCATTAATAGAAAGAGAAAAGATGCTGCAGAGCTGCAGCTATTCTTATATGCTTACGTGCTTTTTAAAAAAAAAGAAATCAACACCCAAAACACCTACATTCCCCAAATACTCTGAACCAAAAGTGACAACGCTTCCCACACAAATTACTAGTACACAGCTCTCCTTAGGAGCTTAACTGTGCTCCGAAGTTTTGGGGTCGGATGGGGAAACTGGTGACAGCAGTGTTTCAGTGAAAGTGGTAAAAATGGCAAAAATTCAGGACTTTCATTAAAAGGCAAGGCCCAACAAAGTCACCCCACAAAAAGAATTACTTGAAGGAAGAGTGAACCTTGTAAAGCTTTAAAGAATGAAGTACAGAAGTAAGAATAAGGGGACAGTTGGAGAATGAACAATGTCTCCACCGCTGCTGTTTCAGCTGGGCAGGATCTATTCTTTCATGCTGCACAGATCATGTACTTGATTTTGGCACCCCGTCAAATACAGCTCCTCTAATACAGAATACAGAACTATGCACTGACAATCAAGCACCAAAATGAAACTAAAAGCAACGCAGAATGGACATCAGACAAGTCTCAAAATCAGTAATTCGTGGCTTTTCTGATCCAAATCAGCATCAAAATGTCATTTCTGTTCAAGAAGAGAAAACACTGATACTGAAGTAATCTCATAATTCTGCATACTTTTTATCATTCTACTGCAAATCAACCATTTAATATCAGCATTTATTCACCTCTGTCCATCTATTGTATTCTTTTGCTTTGGTGACAAAATGGAAATCCTGATGGGGAGCATGACAGAAACCTCTGTTCTAGTTCCTACTCTTGCTGAGACACTGGTTGCAATTCTTTCCTAATCTTTTAGTCCTAACCTCTGCATTTAGGACTCCAGTGGGACATGGACATCCCCTGGTCTTGACCAGCTTGTCACCCATAGCATGAGAAGAAGCCTTGATTGTGGCAGTGTGGAATTGCTCCTCGTGATGGTGGCTCCTATTTCTGCCTGCTTGTCCTGTCACACCTCTAGGCAGAGCACCACCAGCCATGAACTTGCTAGACCTGTTCAAGGACCAGAGAATGCTGTGGGTGTGCTCTCTGTGATGCTGTCTTTCTCCTCTCTGTTTTCATTTTTTCACCATTACTCCTTGTTTTTCACATTTTTTGTCTTCCACGTCATCTCATTATCCTCTGGTCTCACTTTTGTTTTTCAAGGAGGTGGAGAGGGAGGGGAGCAGAAGGAGTCAATGACTGTTCCTAGTGCAGGAGATCGGTGCAAGTAGCAGCCAGCAGCAGTGGGAGGGAGAACCCTAACCACAAGTCAGCAGCTGTGCCCAGAGCTGCAAGACTAGGAGCTTGAGCTATGCCATACCTCCTTTCTTACCCCACAGAAGAAGAGGAACACCGTGGTACATTTTCAGATGCCTTACCACACCAAGACAACGCACTGCAATGAGTTTGCCCTACAGGTGATAAATTTTGTACTTCTGGTTGCACTTCCTATCTTTGGACAGTAAATCCTCTGCCCTTTTACAGGCAAACCCTAAGTCTGCCTCCTTGATTTGGCTCCAGCACTATCTCCACAAGTGCAACTGTTAAACACACATACACACAAGATTCCTGGGGAAATATCTAAACAGAAAAGGATTAATGTTATAAAGTCTTACAGTGAGATGGGTTTCATCTTGAACAGCTGGAGGTTTTTCATCATATTGATATTTTGTGACTTTCTTTTTGCGTAGAGGAAGATTTCCTAAATAAAAGCTGCAGTTTATCTCTTGACATATATAGGGGAAAAAACAGTATTTTAAATAGCTGCAAGAAACTCTTCTCATATTACTCAAGTAAATTGTTAGAAAGCCACTTACCCCCAGTTGCCACAGTAATTTCACGTAGAAAATGGCCATAAAATGGAAAATCAAAGGACAGATTCACTCTCTGAAAGGAACAACATGAGAAAATAAAATCAATATTGAGCAGAAAGGTAAGAGAAAACAAGATGAACAGTCCTCCACTTCAAACACCTGTTTCATTGCTTTTTATTTTTCACTAGAGCCTTGCTATTCTTTTGGAATTTGGAACTGGTAATAGCTAACTGGAAGCAATTTCGTGTAGCACTTCAACACCTGAAAGCAGTGGATCTTCATAACTAAAGACTTCAGAAACTACAATGCATGAACAGACATTGTAACTCACTCATAAGAATAAAACTAATAAAGATTTGTAGAGTTTTTCCTTAAAAAAGAGTTCTTCCTTGCTTTAACCTCTTTCTTAAGAGGAGTCATCAATATCTAAAGCCTTAGCCATGCCTACATTTTACAGGATGCCTCCTACCTTGGCTGCTGGTCATTTGGTCCTCTGTCACATGCACCTTCAGATTCAAGTGCTCTCCCTGACATCCTGCAGCTACCTGGGTGCTTATCTAATGAAGGCTAGTCACTGGAAGGCAACTCCTCCATTTATCCCATATGACACCAGTTCCCAAACTTCTCTGTACTGTCAACTAGGAAATGAAATGATGTACAAAGAAATATTCAACAGAAGCAACAACAAACTCTACTTAAGGTACTTATTGCAAAATAAAAATTAAAAAAAATTATAATTAAAAAATTTTACAAGCCTACAGATGACTACCCTCTATAAGGGGAATTCACAGCAGAGAATTGTAATTTGGGGAACAGATTTTTCTTAACTAAGTTCACTATAAAGCAGCATTCAAATTCAAATTCATTTTTCCTCTCTGCCTATGGCTTTTTCCTTTTGCACCTATTCACTACTCTCCCAAAGCTTGCTAAATATTGTGGCTGCCCATAATTATCACCTCATGTACTATCTGGTTAAACTCCGAATAAATCAGTAGTCATGGTAGAAAGGAATGCTGAAATCCCAGTAAGGTCCTTCCACAGTTTAACTATAATATTCCAAAAAACACATCACTTCCATAATGGTCCAAATCCCAGATAGGAAACAGGCATGAAGCCCATTATTTCTTATTTGGGAGGAATTATTATAGTAAAACTTAGTGTGAAGGTGGGTTGTTGGTGGCTGTCCCTCAACCCTATCCTCTGATGTCTCCACTTAAGAAAGCAAAACAACTCATACATTTTAAAAAAGTGGAGGAAAAAAAGGAAAAAGAAAATCACTTCTTGTCTTTATTTTCCCTACCATTATTTCTGTCCCAGGTTTATTATGTTCAGATCATATCTGGGTACTTCTTCTCTCAGAAAGAATTATGTTTACATCTGCTAGAAATGTTTAAAGACTTATTTAGCATGAAATTAGCAGCTGAAGATTTACAGTAACTTTAAATTAGATTTACTTTCCACTTAAGTGGAAGACAGAATTTAGACAGGATTTATTAGCACATTTTTTGTTTGTTTTTAATTAAAATGCAAAATCCATTTGCATTGTGTTAATTGGACCTTTTCTGTATATACATAAATATGGATGTACCACTGCACATTTCTAATCAAAATGGCATATGCAAAAGACAGCTAATGAATTAACTTAAACAAGTGTTCTTTTACCACGTCCTAAAGTTTTCACTGCTGAAGTGTGTGCTGTGTCTGTGTATGTAGCCCATTTAAATTGTCCTTGCTCTACCAAACATAATTTCCAAGAATTCTGTTAAAACTATCATTTTGCTGACCTAACCATCCCTCTTTCCTTTGTATGCTCTCCTCCATTTTACCTACTAGCATTAACTTTCTGAATACACAGTAACCATTAAACTGCTTCAAATGAAAACCGTTCCCTTAACAGCCTTCTCAACTGCTGTAATATAAACATTAGTATAAAGATGTTTACAATAAAAACTTGATTGTTTGTCCACTCAAGCCAGATACAGGTCTCCCACTGACTTAAATCAAAAAATGATGCCTTAAATTCTGACAATGTAAAATGTTTAATGTAGACAGTTTAGCATAATAGTGTAATAAAGAACCTACATGACTTAAAAAATGTTTTAAAATACAATATTCTAATGGTCACTAAAAGTGTGTTTTTACTTTTGCTGATAGAAAGTATACCTTTTTTTTCAGAAAAAAATATCAGAATTTTTAACCCACTGAAATAAAAATGTTTTTTACATACACAAATGATAGAATGGACTGAGAAAAAAGGGAATTGAGTTCCTAACCATGAGGTATCCTGTATCTAGTTCAGTGTTTGAGCAATCAGGTAATAGATATCTAAACACACCAAATATCCAAGACAGTCCTAAAATTTTATTATATGCTTAAGAAGATGGTGGTCATACGTTATGAAACAACCCTTACTCCTAGTAATATAAATCCTGTAGTGTTAGATATTTTAATTGTTCCATTAATATATGTGTGTTACTTTCTGCAACCAATTTCTATGCCGTCTATACAATCAAACCATCTCATGGATTTTCTCTTTATTACTTTTCCTGTAAAAGCAAAACCACCTGACAGCTTCTGGGAACTCTTAGGATTATAAATTTTAAACTGAAGGAAAACACACAAATTAAGTGTAAGTTTTACTATTCAAAGAATCCCTGGCATTGCTAAATGAATTCACTGATTCTTAGCATATAATAATTTAACTCCTGGTTCTACTGTCAAATTGGAGAATAATGTTTAGAAATTATCAGCATGTAAATCACTGAGTCCCAAAAAGATGTTCAAAATGGCCTTTAAAAAAGAGTAATAACAAAGTTTATTTCTATGGAAAGGAAAGGAAGAGATTGCTGCTCAGTTATGTATGATCATCTCAGAACATATGACTTTACAGTCATACAGTACAGTTATGGAGAGCACATCTCTCTGTTAAGTAATTTCATTGTGTAGTACATATGGATGTTGTTTGCTCAGATGCATACAAGAAATCAATTATAGATGCATAAATGAAATATAAAACCTTACAGGATGACTCATTGATACCTTTTTATCATTCAGGAAGGACATAAAACAAATCTCTGAAAAAGAGCTCTTTAAAAATGTATGTAGACATAGCTACAGGCACCTGAGTTCCCAGTCCAAGGTATTTGGGTAGGTATGAAAAGAGATGGATATCAGAGTTCTAACCATGCTGAATGATCCTCCACACTGATCCCACACCAAGAAAAAAAATTGCCTCGTTCTAAATCTCAATTTAATAACTTCATTAAAATGTCTTCCTTGGAATTGGTATTTTTTAGGTGCATAATTTCAGGGATCCGACTGGAAATAAAATTGCTTACAACAAAGATCTGGAAGGGTGTCATCTTCACTAATCCTTAAACACAGGTTAAAATTTCTCAAAGGAATTTCACTAATGTTTAGGTCTCACTTTCACAAATTACTTTTAATAGGGAAAGATGTTATAACTTTTTTATATATGTATAAATTTTAATACTTTTTTTTTTTTTGCAATTTGTAAATCATACAGTACTCTATTTCACTTCTAAGTGTGTAAGCCCATTATTTTCATATCCATTTTACCAGGTACTATGATTACAATAAGTTAAGTATGATTGTCGTTTACATTCTGTGATATTTATTTGTTGATAACTTAAAACTGTGATCACATCACTTCTGTTACTATAAGAAATTAATTGTGATCACATCACTTCTATTACTAGAAGACATTCTCCTGAGTTTTTTCCAGTTGTCCCAAAAGGAAAAATAAGTGTGATACCTCACACAAAATAGAAGTGCAAACACAGATGCATTCCATGGGAGATTTAAACTTCACCAACTTCATCCTGAACCCATTTCTGTTATTATTGAACTCACTGGTAAAATTCCCTTCAAGTTCAGCAACACAAGTAGTTTACAGTTTGATAGCTTGTGATCCTCCCGAACAGAGAAAAAATTTAAATCTATCTGTAAAGGCATCTCTAAAGGACTTTTATAGCATGTTCGAAAAGGCAACTTGGAATCACTTGATATCAACACTGTAAAGATTTTCACAGCTTAACTAAAATTCAGAGACATAGCTCTGTGAACAGTAGTCAAGATACTTAGTAACACTACTATGTGGGTCACTGGTGAAAGCATCCATGTTAGTCTAATAAGAAAATGGTACCATAACTTACTGCAGCTTGCCGATGCGTGTTGGAAAGGATCCCATGAATCTTTACTTTGTCCTTCTCCATCTGGTCTATATTGACCCACAAATCCCGGCTGGTGGAATCATATGGGCCATACGTCCTTGAAGTATAATAATTATGATCTGTATCTTCCTGAAAGGGGGGAAAAAACACAGATTGTAATGGAAGATGCACCTTAATTTTATATAAAACTCTTCCTTGAAATACTGAGTCCTATTGCTTCTGGAAACAGCAGCAACAACTACACTGCAGCTCAGTAATAAAGGAAAAAATGTACAAATTGCAATTGTGTTGCACAGACAGCTCTGCTTCTAACCACTAGCAGTTGACAAGGCAGTTATCATCATCCAATCATCTTGTATTATGATGAATATGTTCACTATCCCCAAATCCCAATCATACAGTTCCTTTAATCATATCAGTGAAATCTATGGCAAAATGTTTGATGGCTTATGAGGCAAGATGGCCAGTTAAGTTCCTTAATAATGGCCATGCTCTAACAAAGCAATGAGCAGTATTCACAGTTAACACCTTTTTTAACATTTCTGAACATAATTCACTAGACTATCCTTTATACGAAGATCCAAAAAAATTCCTGATAGCTTAGGCTTACAATGCTATTTTATTTTAAATCTCTGAAAGTTTGTTTTACTGTAGGTTTGCCACTCAGAGACAGACATCTCTATATATATTTGTGGAAGAAAGCTTCCTAATTCTCATGGTCTTTAAAATTAAAGAAGTTGCTGTAATACTATGTCACAGCAAATTTCTGTCAAGGTCAGTAGCTGTGAAGATCTGTACTTTCCTGTCTAAAACAGAGAAAAGGGTAAAAAAAATTGTGTGGTCTGAGGCGAGCAATGAAACATATCTCAGATTTCCAGTCTTCCTTTACACATCCCAAGCTGTTGTAACCATAAAATATTTAAATCAACAGCATTGCCAGCTTCCTGTTGAAAAGCTTGAAGTAATACTATAAAAGTAGTACATGCTAGTGTCTCAGTTTCTTCCTTGCTTCCACCTCCTCTGAGACAGAGCAAATTAAACAAGACCTCAATGATAGTGTTTTATAATTAGAGTAAACTTAGAAAATAAACAGGACCATTGAAAATGGAAGAGGTGGACTTCTTAGAATTTAGAATTACCCTGGTGATAGAGAAGTTCCTCTCCTGCAGTACCTCCTATTCCCAGCCAGCAGCACAGGACTACCATCTCATCAGGCCATGCTGCCACGCAGACCTGACACCCCCTCCCCACAGACCACTCCCCAGAACATACACAGCCTGTTCCTAGTGACATGATCCTGAGCTGAAGACATACTTGACAAGAACTTTTATTCTAGATGAAACTATTCAAGCTTTAGTTTAAATATATTGACCATAAATCCTGTTTCAGCTGGATTTCACCCTACATTAACATCATTACTGATGCATTTTACTTCAGCTGTTGCAGACATAATCAGGTTACTTTCTCCTTGACACTTTCTGTATTTTCTGCTGTACTTTCTATGCCAGAATGTACTTTATATGCCCAGTAAATCTCAGTGACACCTTTGAAGCAACTTCTAACAGCTTCAGCAGCTCTAGGTAAGTCACACAAGTAAACATAATTAAAACTATACTGTCAGAAAGATGACAAAAGCCAGCCAACTTAACAAATTCTTTCCTGCTTTAATGGTCAACAGAAACAGTTATTGCTGTCATGTATAAAGGAGGTACAGTAAATTAAAAGGTTTTGAAAACAAAGACATATTTTCCCAGTTTAATTTATCATTCTGACAAAATTTCCATAGAAAATAAGTCACATTTAAGGCATCACAAATCCCAAGGAAAGAGCTACAGAGATAAAGAAGAAATAATTACCAAAATAGTTTGTTTCAGATAACATGTGATATTTAAACCATAGTCAAAACTGTGCAAAATTTGTAAATTGTCCAGTTTTTCATAACTAATAATGCTACTCCAGTTAACTATTAGTACCTAAGCCTCCACCTTCACAATTAGAAGGCTCTAGTGCTGAGCCTAGTTAGTAGCTCCATAAGAATGCCTTAAATGGTATCTTGATCCATGCTCAAAGAAGATTCATCATACATTTTGTAAATCAATCACTTAAATTATAGCCTTCAGCTCAAGATCTTGTCACTGTGTGAGGAGTTACTCATGTCTACCAAATTTTCTGTATATATATAAAAAAAAAGTATTTTAAGTCAAGTTAAATAACCTTAGATACTTTGGGAAGGAAACAAATTCACTTCTACTTGGATGTTAGAAGGAAGACAGAATTCCTCTTACTCTGAAAAAGCTTCATAGCCTTCATGCAGATGTATTTTATGAATACACCTTTAATTATTTGTCTCTCACACCTAATTTTTCTTAATCCTATCTGTAAATTTACAATCTGACTACAAAAAGGCTCATGCAGCTAACTACTAAAGTTCATGTGAGCAGCTCAGGAGCTCTCAGTAAAGTTAGGATCCAAGCTTGTGTTCCAAGTTACTGCCTTCATAGTTTCTAATTTGCATTACCATGGAAATGGAATTCTCAGAGTCTTTCATAAATACGATTTTATTGGTATCATTAAATACCTACAAGTTTTCATTCTGTCAGAGCTGTTTATATGGTTTGGTTCATTGTACCTGTTTGTAATGCATTCCATCCCCTACAGGTACTACATGCGTAAGAAGACGCAAAAATGCTTCAAAAATTATACTGAATTTGCATGTAAACTACTGAATTAAGAAAATAATTTTAATAGTTATATGATACAGATGTAGAGTTCTGCTGATAGCTAGAATTCTATATAAATATGCTTATGAAGAGAAACAAACTTTCAGTATCTTTTAATGATGTAGAAGCAAATTACTAAAAGGAAGATCATTCACAAACAGCAGAGAATATACACATTACTACTTCAAGAAAGTTTTTATTTTTCCTTTGTTTTTCAGGTATGGATATGAGTATTATCTCCCACTGCTTCTCTAGATGTACAGTTCTGTCCAAATACTGCATATGTATGAAGTACATAGCACCTTTATTCTACCAAACAGTACAGCATTAAAGCAAAGGATTTTTTGAGATTTTTTTTCACCAGCTATGAGGATTACTGTTGGCAACCTCTGTGAGTATAAAGGGAATATTTATTAGAACTTCTCTCATAACAATTCCCTTTTGGGGAAGTAAGTTATTTTTAACCTGAGGCCATCCTTGATGCTGAGTTGCCATCTTACTATATATTGTAAAGAAGATTAATTTCTTACAGTTTTCACAAGGGATATTGTCTGATGACATCTTGAATATATTCCCATATTTCTCCAACTACAACTGAATTTTCTCAGGAAAGCTGAATGCATGCACTACTCATAAAAGCTCAGTACAACTGAAGTTTAAGCCTTCTTTAAATTCTTGGTGTTCAGTATTTGTCAAATTCATATCAAATTCAAATACTGAACATCCATTCTGTATGTTACATATATGATTACTGCCAAATACAGTCCAAACAACACATACCCATTTCATCAATAACTGTTGTCCCTTAACAGATTAAGGTGATCTGTCACAATCAAGATAACATAATGTAACTATATGTGATATTTAAAAGTAATGACTACATTATGCCTCTGAAATTATTTCAGATTATGAACTGGGATTCTGGCCAAAGATGTATACGAAAATAATACTGAAACAGACATGAAACAATAAAGTTTCCTCTCAATGAAGTAAGACAGCATGATTCAATGATGATGTAATCACATATGTAAACATTGGACTATTAGGCTTAATTCTCTTCCTGACACATTTTTTCTTTACGAGAAATGAAAAGGTACTATAAATCTCTAGGAGATGGGGGATATTAACAAAAAAGGTTTAGGAATAAGAGACTTTGTTAAATCCAATTGCATGAATATTTTGCTTCTAAATACTGGATTCAGTTCGATCCAAACCACAGACATTACTGAACAAGAAGCTCTGCCAGCTACTGAGCTCTCTTTCTTTAAGCCTATAACTGAAGAAAACTGATAACTTCAACCAGAGAAAAAGCAGCTGGCACACCCAGGAATGAGCTCTGCTATTGCACAATAGCATGCTGTAGAAAAACCTCTTACTTTCTCTGTAGTTGAAAGAAGAGAGTAAGGCATTCACAAAACAAATCATTACAGATCAGCCAACCAGATGGCAATTACATTCCAGTAGATTAAGTTTTGGCTGCCTTCTCCCAGTACTGGAAGACTGTTTACGACATTACCAATCAAAAATCAATCAATCAATCAATCAATCAATCATCCCATCTGAGGCTCCTCATCTTCAGATATTTGTGGTCAAGTGTTATGAGTTATTGCTCAGTGCAATCGAAGATGAGACTGTATTTGATAACTATTGTCCCTTTAAATATACTATTTATTGAAACTGCACTTCCAAACTGCAGTCGAGATGACAGCACAATGGAAAACCTCTGAAGCCCTCAAGGATATGATGTTGGACTTCACTGATGCTTAATTTTATCACTTTAAAAGGAAGGTCTGATATATGATTGTTAACAAAATACATTAAAAATTGCCCAAATATTGCCAAACTGACACACAAGGTCTGAAATGAACTGAAACTGCAGCTAATATTTGCCCTAAAAATTAATTATGAGAAAATTCATCACCTATTACTAAGTTCAGAAAGTCACCTTTAACGCTAAGCATTTCTAGATTAATAGCCTATGAAATTAATCAGAGGATTATGCTTTCTAAAATGTGCATTGGTAGACTAAAACAGAAACACTGAAAAGAGAAAACAGGTAATTCTATATTTTTTAAACAGACAATTTTTCAGCAAGAAACCAAAGATAATAATGCTTTTTTGGATATTTAGAGGAAAGACATGAACTACCAATTAAAATTATTTCCCTAAGGAATAAAGCAGTTCTGGTGATCCATTTTGCAGAAGCAAAAAGAACACCCTTTCTATTTAAATAAGACAGTAACAAGATGGCCCTGCACACATACAGCAAAAACAGCTTCCTCAAAACTATTTGCACTCTTATCCAGTCTCATGTAATGTTTGCTATTCTCTTACAGTATCTGTGCCTATCACATCAGTAAAATGCAGCCAAAATTGACTTCTGAATTGTTTCAGACTTTTGTTAGAAAA